TTTTGTCTGAAATTGATTGTGTTTCCCATTCAAAAGGCTTGGCAAGTGTTTTCAAGGAAAACAGCTACAATTTGCAAAAGATAGTCAAAAGAAGGGGTCTTTGTATTCATAATGATTTTATTGGCTATTTTGTGGCAATTCTTAACTGCAATAGTCAACCTATCATGAAACAAGCATGCTTGTTTAAGCATCTTACAGTGTCAAGAATCCTAATGGTCCTGGTCCAACTATAGTAAATTATGTTTTCAAGGTATCACTTTTACATAATTCATCCTGTGAAGTGATTCCCAAGGGGAACTATGCTTGTCTTTAAATGAGGAAGTGTTTGAAAGGATTTCATTTTGGGGAAGCATTTGAACTTTCTTATCTTAAATTTTTAGTTTAGCAAAAAAATTTTTGAAGTTTTGAAGTACCCAATGTAAAAAGTTAGCTTAATGCCAATGTTTCTTAAGTCCTGGGTTTCATATTTATCATTATGCTTTCACTTGTTGCTCTGTAGTGAAGGGGAATTAAGCCTCTGATTTCTATTTATACTGTTTGGTACAGGTTCTCAAAAAAGCAGATATGATCCGCAAGAATGCAGTTGAAAGTATTTTAGCAGAGCGTGATATTTTAATTTCAGTCCGCAATCCTTTTGTGGTGAGCAGGTCTAGCTTTTAAAGAATTTTAACTTCCCTTCTAGACTTATCATCTAATACTCACATCTAATGCAATGAATCAGGTTCGGTTCTTCTATTCATTTACATGCCGTGAGAACTTGTATCTTGTGATGGAGTATTTGAATGGAGGAGACTTGTATTCTTTATTGAGAAACTTAGGTTGCTTGAATGAAGATGTTGCCCGTGTCTACATAGCAGAAGTTGTAAGTTAGTAAAATTATATACACTGTAATGGTTATCTTATTTGTGTTACCCTCTAAATATTATTTTTCTACTCAAAATTCAGGTGCTTGCTTTGGAATATTTACATTCTCAGGATGTGGTTCATCGTGATTTAAAGCCTGATAATTTGTTGATTGCACATGATGGTCACATCAAGGTAACTATTCATGTATCTTCCTTTTCTTCTTCCAATTTGATTATATATCAGGAGATGCACATTGCCGATGCTACTCTTTACTTTGGGGAATTCAGCATGCCAATGTGGCTAATGACTTATGTTATTTTGTACATGTTCATAGAATCCATCAATCTAGATGTGAGATATTGTTTTAGATTTACTATTCTTTTGTCATAAATTTCATATTTATTAAGAGCGTAATGGAATGGTAAGAAGAGGTTCCTTCGATGGAAAGTAAATAAGAGGTTATTTGAGCACAATTACCATAGTAAGTTGCTATTTGAAAGGATTTTTTATTTCTTGATGTGCCAAAGTTGCATGGGTAGGTTTCCTGTTTTAACAGGAGTTCATCTTAATATGGTTTTGTCATCTTCCACCATGATACTTAACAAGATTTCTGGCTTATTGTTTAATGCAGAAGCAAGACCATGACATATGCTTGATAAAATGCTTATCATCCAATCATTTTTTGAAGGATAGATTATTAAAATCCCCACTAAAACATTTTGCATTTTCAAATTCACCTTTACCTTGGGATGTTTGTCCCTTGTAAGTAGGGGGTAAATTTATGTTTTCAAAATTTTAAAAAGTGGGAGAAAATGTTTTTGTAGGATTTTTTTGATGGGTTCTGTAATTTTCCCTTTCATGGGATAGATCACAAATTTTGTGTCTGTAAAGATTGTCTATCAGTTAGTAAGATTCAATTAAAAAGCATTTTTTTTCCAGTTTGGCTTGTGTTTCTAGGGTCTATACTCTATAAGCATTAAGCTTTGAGGAAGAGAGACAGAATGGTTTTGAGTGTTGGAAACTAGATACATGGAAAGGTGAGATGTTATCAGCTGTTAATTGGACTACTTATGGTTTATTAAGAAGCTTTATGGTTTATGAAGAAGCTTGTTAAGAAAGTGAGTGCCTGAAGTGGAGTTAGCCTCCGTGTCTTTTATTGTAAGATATCCCTCCACAGTTATAATAATTTGGTTGTTTTGCCTGACCAGTTGACAGATTTTGGCCTGTCAAAAGTTGGTCTCATCAACAGCACTGATGATTTATCTGGTCCAGCTGGCACGTCTCTACTTGAAGAAGAGCAGCCTCAGTTATCTGCCCCTGAGCATCAACAAGAAAGGAGGAAGAAACGCTCTGCTGTGGGTACGCCTGACTATTTGGCTCCAGAAATACTTTTGGGAACAGGACATGGTTTGTATAGCCTTTTTTAGCTTAAGGTGCTTTAATTATCTTTTCATCTTCTTGTTTGATTTAAATGCTCAACTCACAGTTTAAATTTAATCAGCTTAATAGAGATATATGCTTGGGCACATTATCAAATTTCTAACTAAGAATAAAATAATAAATTGATTGGAAAATATGGTTTAATAAAAATTTTCTGGGGTAAACCATGTTCATTTGATGTGTAAAAGCCTAGGATTCTAGAAAAATTACTGAATTAGGGTAGCTTGATACTTCGGTTTGCAACAGGGTTTGTGTTGTATGATGGGAAAAAATACTAGATAGAGAAATATAGAAGATAGTATAAAACAGGAGAGGGGAGCAGAGTATAATTTCTAGAAGAAAACACTGGGCTGCCTCTTATTACTAAAAAACACTACTTTGAGAACTCATAGTACAATAAGATTTATGGAATCCTAGAAATCCTTAACCAAGTGCGTTACTGCCCAGCCCAAATTGTCAAACAGAAACACCAAAAATGCCAAACTCTTAAATCAAAACCAAACTCAAAAGAAACAAATATTAACTCAATTGTACTAGAATAATGGGACTCATTTGAACTTGCAATTAAGCTTTTTATCGGTAGAAATGAGCCAAATTAGAGCTGAGGTGATCAGCCTTGAAGTACCTTCTTCTATGATACTTTGGTCATTGCTGTTAACATCCTGTGTTAGCTTCTTTTGTTTACTGATCAAATTTAAAATCAGTAAATTAACTGCATTAAATATTTCCTCAGGTGCAACAGCAGATTGGTGGTCTGTGGGTGTTATTTTGTTTGAATTGATTGTTGGCATTCCACCTTTCAATGCAGAGCATCCTCAGGTTCCTATCTTTTCTGAGTTTGTTCTAATTCTTGCTAATGTTGTTTATTCTTCTCCCTTGCTTGCTCTTGATGTCTCCGATTTTCTCTTCTTTTTTCCTTATGTTTTCATTTTGTTTGATTTTTCCTTTCTTGTTGAGTTGTTTTTATTGTTTGAAGTATTTACTTTTTGATAGAGGATGGGTTAGAGATGTTCTTTTATTTCTTTGAATGGAAGACTGAGTATCTTAGATCTTTTCTGCTTTGAAGTTATAGATATTAGATATCACCTTTTTTCTCTGCTTACTGTTGCAGTGTGATATAGATTTATCATTATTGTTTGTTTTGTAAGGAGTTGCTCATAAGATAATTCTATATCATGATTTATGCATCAACTTCTAATCATACTGAGGTTTGCATGATAAGGTCTACAAGAATTTGGATCTCTTTTTAGTTCTATTCCATAGAAGCACATGTTGAGAGTTTTAAATGTGTGTACTTTATAAATTGCTGCATTACCTATAAATGCCACTAAAGTTGTTAATGTGCTACTTTTGGTTTGCACTTCAAGAGAAATCAATTATCATTCTTATTTATTATATAAATTGTTACATTTCATTTCTTTGGTCTTGTTTGAAGACGATATTTGATAATATACTCAACCGTAAAATACCTTGGCCGCGGGTGCCAGAAGAAATGAGCCCTGAAGCACATGATCTAATTGATCGGTAAGAATATGTTTTGGTTGGTCATTTATTTGTAACTTTTGTGATAACTTGTTAAACTATATCACTGGCAACATGATCATTGACCCAAATATTTTCCTTTATTCTATGATGTGGTCCACCTTCTTATTATTCCTGGGAGATGTCAAAGTATCTCAGACCTGTTACTTTCTGGTTTTAAGATAGACCATCATGCAATCACCTATTAGCTATCACTACCCCTGTTAACTAAGGGTTCATAAAAAAAACAGAACACTTTCAGGTTTATAAGTAACGGAGCAGCCTAATTGATTCTTAAATGACTTACAATTTTGAGATTATTTGACTTTATTCCAGTTCAATCAGGATTAATGCTTAACGTTCTTTACTAATTTAGAAGTTAATATGTTCATTTTCCAGATTGTTGACAGAAGATCCTTATCAGAGACTGGGAGCTAGAGGAGCATCACAGGTTGGTTCTTAATATGAGCTTTAATTTTTTGATTTGTTCATTACTTTTGATTTTTTGTTCCCCATACATGTTTTAAATGTTTGAACAATGGAAGACTACTTACAATGTAGGTGAAGCAGCATGTCTTCTTCAAAGATGTCAACTGGGACACCCTAGAAAGGCAAAAGGTATTGATATCATTGTGGTCAATTATGAATTACAATGCCTTGCCATTCTAACTTCCTTTGGTCCACTAACAGTTCTAACACATTCCACAGGCTGCTTTTGTTCCCACTTCAGAGAGTGCACTGGACACTAGTTACTTCACAAGTCGCTACTCTTGGAATCCTTTGGATGACCAAGTGTATCCAGAAAGTGAATTTGATGATTCTACTGATGCTGACAGTTTAAGTGGGAGCAGTGGTTGCCTGAACAATCGCCAAGAAGAAGTGGTATCTTATGTACTTAACCTAAATATCTCTGCAGTTCAAGAAAATGATTATGGCTATTTTTCCTTTTAGTTTTATATGATTTTTGGTGTTTTGACTCTTGAAAATTGACAAGCAGGGAGATGAATGTGGTGGCCTTGCAGAATTTGATTCTGGATCATCTGTCAATTATTCCTTCAGTAATTTCTCATTTAAGGTATTCTCTTACCAAGGATGGTCAGTTCGAGTATTAGTCCTTAAGTTAAATCTTTAAAATGGTTTTCCAGTATTGTTTTTAATAGGCATCTATAGAGAGACTTTTAGAAGCAAATTTTAAAAACCTGATGCCCTTTTTTTTTGGACCATCTTGAAGTGGTCTGACTTTTCTTTCTTATGATAGAAGGCCTTGCAAATTCTTGAAGTTGAATATAGATTGCTGTGACCCATCATATGATCTGCTGTGGTTTTGTGGTTGTGAGAATGCTTTTATGACTTAATGCTGGCTTCCTATCAATTTTCATATTAGTCCATCGTTTCTTGGTTAACTTATTTCTGTTTTGCCTGACACTTCTGCATTTCCTTTTCCTTGAAAAATTAATCCCAACACCACCTCACTCTCTTTTTGTTGTGTTTGTTAGAATCTCTCTCAGCTTGCATCAATTAACTATGACCTGCTATCTAAAGGATGGAAGGATGAGCCTTCAAATTCTGCTGGATAATTAAGGAGCATTGGTTTTCTTCAGTGTCAGAAGCTGGGCTGGAGTTTTTGAGATTAGACCGATGTAGCAAATTTGGAGTGCTTCATCACTGCGTTGTTTGTATACTTTGTACATGTATGTGATTTGAACACATAGTATACTTTTTGCTCCTTCTCTTTATATATAAAAATATCTTATTGAGTAATAATTTTAATATCTTTTTGCCCATGCAGAGATAGAAGAAAACTCAAGACTGAACTGCTTTCGGGATGTGATCTTTCTTTCTAGGTAACACAATACTGTGGGATTTCAGTTCTGCTGTTAAGGTGCTTTGACGTCAGGACCTTAATGTCTTGGTTAGTTGATAAGCATGCCACAGTATTGTTCTACAATCATTTGTGATGTTTTTTTCTCCATAGCAATGAAAACACATCCCTTCATGTTCAATATAAAACTTTTAAAGTTATTGTGAAGTCAGTACCATGCTTCTCCACGCTTGCAACCTTGGCTGCAATGGGAAGCTCACCCGAAAACAATGGTTCATGCCATGGTTCGCGTAGGAATGACTCCTGTCTAGTCAAGAATAATTCCCTTTCCTCAGAATTTTCCATGTTCAGTTTTTTAAAACAAAATATCAGATTTTTTTTTAGCCCTACAGGTGGGAATTGGCCATTTTCAATTACCTGTTTAGCTTGATATGTTTGGGAAATCAGAATCTGTTCGTTTTTTAGTATGGCCTGCAAACATGGCACAGGGGGATCATATCTAAACACAACCAAGTCTGCATTAAATGTTATTCTTATGATGCAATTCCTGGTTGTTGGGCTATCAAGTGCTTATGTTTTGTCCTGTATTCTGTACAAATGCTGCCATTGAGTTCTGGCAGATAGTTTGAGACATTTAAGCTCTTGGATCTATTAGATATTAGGATAACCGTAAGGCCAAAAAGAAAAAAAATATTAGAACAGTGGACGAAATGAAGAGCAAAAGGAAAAGAAAACGACCTCTTGGGACAAGTAGATGTTGATTTTTCCTGTACTGAGCTACACATTTGCAGATCATGGCAACTTTTATTAGGGATGTTCTTTTAGCTGGTTTTCCAAGGTACAAGATGGTTGTAGAATACATACTCTGTTGAGTCTTGAAAGGTAGTTGATGTATAAAAATACAAGGAAAACATAACCTTAAAAAAAAACATAACCCGAAAAAAAAAAAAAAAATCCTGACTTTATGAGTTCTGTATGGATGGAGAGAAGGAGAGGGGAGAAAAAGTTTCTCTTATTTAATTACTAAAAATGTAAAAGGGAAGAAGTTTCCTTTTTTTTTTACCTATTTTTTTATTTGGTTTAAGTACCATTTTGGTCCCTCAACTTATCATTTTAGTACCAAAATTGTCCCTTAACTTTAAAAAGTACCAAAATTATCCTTAAACTTTCATTTTTTTGTACCAAAATGGTCCTTCCGTCAGTTAAACACCAGGTGGCACGTTAAAATGCCAACAAATCAATTCTTTTTTTTTCTTAATCAATGACATGGAAAAAAAAACATAGTTAACTATTTTTTTTCTGAGTTGGCATTTTTATTTAATTTAACAATAATAATTTTTTTTTTTTTTGCATCCACGCCTCAGAAAAAAAAATTTTTCTTCTTCCCCTTTTACTCTCTCTCCTTCACCTTTCCTTCCCCTTTCTTCTGCAAACCCAGATCTGGAGTGGACGCTCGATAAACAAAATTTTCTGTAAGGACCAAATTGCGGTTCTCTTCTGTAGGGCTGACTCAGCGAAGCTCTGTTTGTTCTGCGACCAGCATGTGCACTCCGCGAACCTGCTTTCGCGGAAGCACTTGCGGTCTCAGATCTGCGATAACTGCGGTTCTGAGCCGGTTGCGGTTCGGTGCGTGACGGATAATTTGGTTCTGTGACAGGAGTGTGATTGGGATGCGCACGGGAGCTGTTCTGTGTCTTCCGCGCATGAGCGGACTCCGGTTGAGGGGTTCTCCGGATGTCCTTCGGTTTTGGAGCTAGCTTTTGCCTGGGGGTTTGATTTGGAGGGTAAGAAGTTGGAGAGTCAATCGTCGCCGTTGATGGAGAATTAGAACGGGAGTCAGGATTTCGTGATGCCGGTGGAGTTGTGGATTTATAAATCGAGTGGTCAAGAGATGATTGTTCCGTACCAGAATGTGAGCTGTGGAGAGATAGTTAAGAAACGGAGCCCGAGCTGCGGAAAGTACAAACAGGCTATATACAACCAGCTGGTGGAATTGATGAAGACGGGTTTTATCGGAGGCGATGGAGGCTATATACAAACAGGCTATATACAACAAGATTCGGAGTTTGTAGAGCAAAATCTAATCCTTGATTCTTGTGTTGTAGATGGATCTGGGTTTGATAGAGGAAGACCCAGATCTGGGTTTGATAGAGGAAGACCCAGATCTGGGTTTGATAGAGGAAGACCCAGATCTGGGTTTGCAAAAGTGAAAAGGAAAGGACTTCCAGTGACGAAGAAGAAGGCACAAGCTTTGGGTCTTTCCCTGGGTTTTCTCGAACAGCGATTCGACAAAATAGCATCATCGGAAAGGACTTTTGACGACGAAGAAGAAGGCACGAGCTCTGGGTCTTTCTTTGGGTTTTCTCCAACAATGATTCGACAAAATAGCATCATCGGAAAGGACTTCTAGCGATGAAGAAGAAGGCACGAGCTTTGGTACAAGATTCGGAGTTTGCAGAGTATAATCTAAGGACTTCCTCCTTGATTCGGGCGTTGCAAACAGATCTGGGTTTATCGAGCGTCCACTCCAGATCTGGGTTTGCAGAAGAAAGGGAAAGGAAAGGTGAAGGAGAGAGAGTGAAAGGGGAAGAAGAAAAATTTTTTTTTCTGACGTGGATGCAAAAAAAAAATATTATTATTATTAAATTAAATAAAAATGCCAACTCAGAAAAAAATAGTTAACTATGTTTTTTTTTTCCATGTCATTGATTAAGAAAAAAAAAGAATTGATTTGTTGGCATTTTTAACGTGCCACCTGGCGTTTAACTGACAGAAGGACCATTTTGGTACCAAAAATGAAAGTTTAAGGATAATTTTAGTACTTTTTAAAGTTGAGGGATAATTTTGGTACCAAAGTGATAAGTTGAGGGACCAAAATGGTACTTAAACCTTTTTATTTCAATTCCTTTATTCATTTCAACATATTAAAGAGGGAAAGGAAATCATTTTTATCTCTTCTATTTCTTTTGATTTAAACATATTTTATATATCAATAGCTTTTGTGAGTTCTGTTTATTGCTTAATAATTGAGATTGATATTACTACCAAAAAAAAAAATTGAGATTGATATTTAAATTTATTTAATTTCTTTAAATATATTGAGGTAATATAGGAGATGTACACTTAAGATCATTTTAGAAAAAATAAATATCCAAACATATAAAAAATATTAGAAGACATGTTGACTGCCCAAACTTTAAAAATATAATAATAATAATAATAATAATGATAAAAGCCCAACGTTAGTTTACCCTGACTATATGGACTTCAAGTTCAAGGGATGGATTTAAAAAATTTGAATAAAAATACAAATATGAATAAAAGTAATGAAACATATTTTAATTTGATGTGACTTGAAAGTCTGTACTGATTTTTCATGCAGGGTAACATTTTTTTTTTTCCTTTGGGCTTTCATCTTTTATCCTACACAATTTATATATATATATATATATATAAAAGAAGAAAAACGCCCTTTCAACCCCTAACTTCTCCTGATTTTCCAATTAGCCTTCAAATTAATTCTTGATCAATCAAGCCCCTAAATTGCTCACTGGCTCCTACATAAGCAATGAACCTAAGAGCATGTATAATAGGAGTTCTTTCTCATTATTCTTTTTAAAAATAGAGTAGGGACAGAATGTTAACTCATTGAAGATCTATTAGAGTTTTGTTCTAAAAGAGAATTGTCTCTCTATTTTTAACATTTTAAAGGGTTGAAAATTGCACTACTTGACATGCCGCTAGATATGATATTTTATCTTTTTAAAAAAATTAATTTAAAACTTTTTTCTTGTTCCAAATGGGTTAAATAAAATAATATTGGTTAGACTTTTAAAGAAGTTTTATTTAGATATATGTATTGAACAAGAGATATTTTATTAAGTGTTCTATTTAAAAGTTAAATATATAAAAATGTGATTTTATATAAAATAATATTAATTATGATTATGAGCCACCAAATTGAGCTTTCTCATTGTTCTCCCTTGTAGGCTTTGGTTATGGTCATACAAAAGATTGTTAAGGCCACACAAAAACCATATAAAGGAGTTTAGTTTGATTTTTAAGAGCAGTTAGATAATATAATTATTAGTTGATAACAGATAAAGCAACTAATATCTATTATTTAAGAATTTACAATTAATTTATAAATTAATATTTTTAAACATCTTAATAATTAAAAATTAATAAATTAAATAACCTAAATATATTTTTAGTATTTTGTGTAGTCAAAACAAGTATTTACGTGACCATAACATGGCCCGCATTGTACATGGTCTAACAGTTATACTTGACTTAGATGTTCAATTAGTAAGTACATGTTCTCCAATTTTCGGGGATGATTTTCAATTCATAAAAAAGCTCAATTCTTAAAAAAAAAAAAACTCACTTAATAAAGTACGTATTCTACTCATTATGTTTTTTATTTTTAAATAAGTACTAGTTTAAAAATGAGAGATTTAAATTCAGCACCGAACATTAAAATGCATCTTTCTTAAAATTTAGAATTAATTGGCCTTACAGTGCAGGTGTATTTCACTCATTATGTTTAGAAGTCCAAAATTTAATAAGAAACAAAAGAAACTCCAATGGTAACAATGGTCAGGATAGGACAAGAGTTGCTCTATTGAGAAAGCCCAACATTATGACAAAAGAAAATAATATAATCATAATATTATAAATTTATAA